ACAGACAAACCCGTAACAATATGCGTTTTGTACTGCTGTTACACAGCACAAAACGCATAATAAAAATTGTTTGTAAAACGCAGCCTCACTCATATCAATGTCCTTTTCGTTTCACATTTTAAGGCACATCCGTGATAGTGAAAATTTTTTTAAAACCTCACAATTGTATGCATCCTGAATACACGGTATACCAGGCCTGCTGGACAATCAGTGTGGGTATCCATGTTGGTGATTTTGGCAAAACTGTCCAGAATATTATGATATTAACTAGCAAGGAAGTGGTATTTGTAGAATTTATGAATATATGAGCAGTATTTACGCGCAACAATTAACATTTATAGAATTATTTAGTAAAAAACTAGCAAAATGTAGTAATATATTTATAAGAATAGTTTTGAAAACATCGTTTTGAAAACATTCCAATTTTCTCAAAATCTTGGAAAATCCTTCATTTTCTTATCTTGAATGGCGGGTTGCTGTAACAAAACAGTTATGAGCCTGATAATTTTTCAAGGAGATAAATATGGGGCAGCGCGCATCGGACACACGAGCAGTAACATTCGAAGATGTTCGAGTACCAAAATCGCAGATGATTGGCGGACCGGGTGAAGGCTTCAAAATTGCCATGAGAACTTTCGATACCACCAGGTTAGCATTACTGAAATTTATCAATGATGAAAATGTATAGTTTTAAAAATACCAAAAAAGTTGCATAGTAATTATTGCACTCATTTTTAGGCCTTTGGTAGCAGCAATGGCCGTTGGATTATCGGCACGTTGTCTTGACGAAGCTAGCAAATATGCGCTAGAAAGAAAGGCATTTGGTACACAAATTGCTAATCACCAGGTTTGTTATAGCATCCGAAGGGTCTAGTAGTGGTTATAAAATTTGTTACTGATGCATCATCTATAACGGATTTTTCTGTCCAAAATTCACACAAAAGTTTAAAATAATTGAATGCTTATATTTCGATTTCTGCACCTGAATACTTAAAAACTCGTAAGATTTTAAATTAAAAACATGAAAAGGGCATGGTTAAATGATATATTAAGGGCACTTGAACTGGATAATTTTTCTAGGCGCTCGAACTGGAAAATTTTTTGAAACAATGATTAGCTCAAAGTATCTGAATATCTTCAAAATCTGAAATCAATGGCACGGAAAAAATACGCTTAACTAAAGTTTTAAGTTTATAAATGAGGTCTAGACGCTCCGACATGACGACTTTTTGAAAATTCTGATCATGTTTTTTTTCAGCGTCGTGTTTCTTCTTACCATTGATGCAAATAGCAATTTCTGTGCAGAAGTTGCCTTTTTGGTTGAACCCGTGCTGGCTTATATAACCGCTAGGGTCACCTGGCCACTTATGTGGTGACTGTTCCAGCATCTGTCTAACGTCGCTTGAGTATTATTTGAGAAAATTTAACCTAGCTAAGAGCTGAAGGTAAAGCTAGATGTTACTAGAAGTCTGTACCATAAAAGAGCTGCTGGTTCCAACGAAACAATTTCTAATTCAAAAATTTCTTCAACAGGGAGTCTCGTTCATGCTAGCGGATATGGCAAT